TCTCCTTTCCTTCTTATTAACGGTATATAACCTTATATTATTTATATAAATTTCCTTGGTTTATTCGGTCAAGGAAATTTTTATTTATAAAAAATTCTGCTACAATCCGGAAATTATCCTAATTCAAATTATATTATTTAATATTTAGGTTAGTTGTTTGATAAGTTAATACTTCTGAATCTACAAAAAAATTGCATATTACCCTAAATTTATTTAAGAAGGGAATTCATGAATTTATGTAGTTCTTGTAGATATAAAGCATTTGTGACCTAAATATTTAATTATTTTTGTTTCATTTTTCGTTTTGTTTGTTTAGCATACGCAAATTCTTATATAAACATAAACAACGAAAATATATATCTTATTATGTTTTTCGTTATGTATATACCTACTTTATCTTCATCCCCTTATTATTTACATATAATTTTCATCTCACTTGTCCTCGAAAAACATTGCGGTACAATCCAAACAGTTTTTGTTTGCTCGCAGAATTCGGAGAATCCTTCTTTGATGATAACTACGCAAAACCTTTGTGCATTGTTGTGTACTCAAGTATACCCTCCACTCCTTAATATCATCCCTTTTCGTTGGTTTCAGAGACAGGCATGGGGAGACTCAGGAATTACAATGATTGGAGCCTTCGGGTTATGGTAGAGATGCTCAAGATTGTATAACTCCGACACGTTCGTATCCACAAAGGTGAGAAAATCCATCTGTTTGTATGTATATGGGATAAAGGGTAGTGAAATAACCGCGAATTGTGTAGCGACAGTTCATTATGGTACAAGCGAATTTAAAACGATCCGTTTGATAAACATTGAGTCTCTAACACAAATTAAAGCGAACGTTTTTTTTTTAATAATATTCCTATTAGTCCAATTAAATTACGAAAAAAAGCCCCTTCGAGCTTACTTTAATTTGTAATTGGATGAAACAAAAAGGACCTTGTGTATTTTGATGTGATCTTTCCGAAAAAAAGAAAAAAATTATGTAGCAGTTTTTCAATTTTTTTTAAATTAGGAAAAACCGGGTTTTCTGGAATTTTCCATTGTAAAAATGCTAATTATCTGGGCAAGTATCATTCCGATAGTGAAAATAAATGCACCATTCGAAAGAGGAGACAAAAATAGTTCGGAAATTCATTGCACAGGTAGTTTTAATGGCGAATTTCTCGCCTCCAGAAGTGCTTTTACCAAAAAGTCGTTTTTTCGTTTTTTTGATCAGAACCATGGACATGAAATTTGCGATGAATTTGTGGCGAAATTATAAATGTTAGACATATGTGCCCATGAGAGAAGTTGCGTATTTTTTGGTTGGCTCTCAAATAAAATAAGTCCCACGGCGAAATCTGCCATAATTTTTCGGGAATTCGCAGGAAACCGGAGGGCGTAGTTTTTTTTTAATTTTTTCCCATATGATTTTTTCCGGGTTTTCCAAAAACATCTAACAAAAAAAATATATTTGAAAAAACTAACTTCGCCATCGAAAAGAGCACAAAAAAATACACAAAAAGGTATACTTTAAAAATGTTAGGAAATTAATCCTAAGCCTGAGTGTAAGTTCCAACTTGGTGATAAGCTTGCTTTTTGTTCTCTAATATCTGGTTTTTAGTTATTTACAAGAAAACTTGAAATGGGAGAAGATATATATGCATGACAAAAATACGAATTTTCTAGTTACGTTCCGAACTTTTTGAAAAAAATTGCAAAACAATTTTTTCTTAATTTCTCGTACTTTTTTCTTAATTAACTCGAAAACTAATTATCTGAATAGAAAACTGTTTCCATCAGATGATAGAGAAAAAAAAAAGATACGAAAAACTGTGGCATATACATTTTTTCTAGCATCCACTGTTTTCTGAGCGCACGTGTGCAAAGATCGGTAATTCTCGCGAGAATTGAAGCTACTCGAATTTTCTGGCAATTGGGAGAAAAAGTAAGCTTGTTTCTCATTAAACTTACTGATTCTGATATATTTTCAGTCTGTAAAGTGCCCAAATTATGAAAAAAATCACAAAAATGCGTAGTTTTCGGTTATATTTCGAATGTCATAGGTCGCATTGCAAATCTGCAATAGTTCACCTTCTGCAAGTGTCTGATGGCATAATAAATACAGGCCAGCCATTGCAACCTGGAAACAAAAAAATTATAGCACTGTGATAGAATTTTCTTAATTTAGGAACGTACTTACTCAATAAATTACTGAGAAGTTCGAAAAGCGGCGTGTACACAGAGCTTGCTGAACACGGTTATTAAAAATCTATGCCGATGAACACTATCAAGTGATTCAATTTGTAAAAATATGACCGTTTGAAGTTTAAACTTGTCAGATAGCGAACGCCGAGACCATTACTATCCTTGATGCGACGTGCGGCTAATTTGACGGTAATTCTATATATTGCACAAAACTCAAGAAACGTCTTATAACAAGTCAGTAAAATACAATTTAATAAATTTTAAACCTAATAAATTTAGATATGTAAGAAATTTAAAACTGGAAATCGCAAAAAATCAAATTACAGTAATGTATTGTATACACGAGTTTTGGATCCCGCGGAGCGCGTGTAATGGGACTTTTGTCGGGAGAATTCTACAACTTAGAAGAAACATACACACTTTAAACTTTGTATACGCATTTAGAAGACATGAAATTTGGGTTTGCTTAATTTTCAGATCAAAAAACTAAAAATTGTCAATTTTAGGCAACTTTTCTCAAAAACCGTGTTTTTTGGTCGTCACTCAATGAACAGTGGTCAAAAAAATAGATTAAATATATTTGCAGAATTCTAGATACAATAGAGTACTCAAAAAAGAAGTTTTGAGCCATTGGGTGCATTTTTGGCATTTTTGTGTCACTTCAAACTTTCGAAAAAAAATTATTTTTTTTTTTAAGAAAAAAATTTATTTAATTGTTTGATATCTTAGCCAATTATGGTCCGATGTCGGTGAAATTAACACATACATAAGATTTCACATTTAAAAGTAAGCTTTGTAAGTGGTATTAAAAAAATTCAAATAGTTTGGCCGTTATAGGCAAACAATTAAATTAGGACCGCGGTACACTTTGCCCTTCCGCCATATGCCCAATTTTGGGATTTCTTTTGCCCCCTTCTGGGAATTACTAGTCACATCCATTAAGTTCAAAACGCATTTTTCTTTTTTCAAATATCTTAATTTTTACCAATGTTATGAAGAATTTAGTGAACATTTAACAAATTCAATTTTTCGACCTTCGTCGCCTCAAAATACTAAACAAATTTCAATCGTCTATACCGCGAGAACGGTGCATCGGATAAAAATTTTTTCAAGAGACATAAAAATTAGCATTTTTCCTAAGCTTTCAAATGTCGTAAACTGCGTTTTAAAAATATTAATTTATTTCCGACATGCGCCTGCGCAAAATTGAAAAATTGACAAAATCCAAAATTTCGACACTTTTGAAAAACTGCTACATTTTCTTTTGACTTTTTTCGAAAAGATCGCCCCAAAATACATAGAATCCATTTTGTTTCATCTAATTATAATTTAATGTAAGCTCAAAACCCGTAATTTAATTCGATTATATTTTTTAATGAGAAATTATTTAAAATAGACATATATTATGTCATACATATATTATGTCATACACAAAAACTTATAAATCAATTTTCGTCTTTCAATTTAAACTTATTTCCCAAGTTTATGGAAAATTTGTGATAGGTTCACAAATTTTAATTTATAATCGAAAGTTTTTATAAGAAAATTTATATTTTTAAAGCTGAAGCTGTATTATTCGATAGAATAATAATTAACACAATAAAACATTATTTAATTTTAGGTAATGTTTATTATAAAACATTACACATGACCCGACAATCACAATATGAAATATGTCAAATCACGCAACATCAATCGGACAGGAACAATGTCGTCTGTCATACACAATGGTGCCACCTCATGCCCGGATCCTGAGGCGCCCTCTATTGGCAGACATCAGACTATACAAAACAACTACATTCTATTACTTTTCTATACTTATTTGCAAAATAAAATTAGCATAACATTTTCTTTCATAAATTAACTTTTGAAAACTTTATATAAGTTCAATACCACAAATGTATATCCAATTTAAAAACAAAGAATTGCAGACACTTGCTACAATTTTATTTTCTGGTTAAAAATAACTTATTCTGATAAGTATGTGGAAAATGTATTACAATTTTGCAAATTTTAGTTTATATTCGGTAGCTTTTAGTATGTTCTTGAATGAACATTTATATTTTTAAATTATGAATACAGGTAGAGTCCTATCTATTTTTGTAAGTTATCAACATCAAATTGTCCAAAAATATATTTAAAAACTTTATACACAGATTCGATAAGTTTTGTAAAAACTTAACATGGAATATGAATATTTAATTCTTAAATTATCTTTTTCTAAATCTGATATGATTACAACCTGCCAAAAAAATAATCGAAATAATAATAGTGAGTTTTTTAACATCAAGGATAAAAATGGCAGTATGATGAATAGGTATTGAGAACGTTTTAGCGCCTCTTATGTTAAACGTATGAACTGATGTTCTTTATTGAAAATTATCACTAAGATAGGCAGGTAATGAATATTTGATTATTCTATGCATCATACTTAACAATAAAGATTGATAAACATTGTGAACAGTGGCGGTTTGCCCGTAAGGTCACTTGGGCATGTGCTCTAGTATAATAAACAAAAAAAAATAACATATATTTTATATTTTCCTTAATGCCTATTATTATTTTATTTAATATTCAGCGCAAACCGCGTTGGCACGACACTGGACGACCGAACGTTGAGCGACGTTCCGAGAATTCCGAAATTAAGTGGGTACAGGGCACAGTAAATATGTGCCTCTCATTATGATGCGAAAAACAAGGACAACGATAATATCGCTTAGCAAGAGATGAACACATGCGATGGATTATACGTGACAAGCTGGGCGCTGTCCTCATCGTGGCACAGATTACTTAGACCAAATACGAATGTACGCAGCGGCATGTTTACCGGCTGCCTCTCAAAGGCGATGCCGGTTTCGCCTTAAGGTGCGCGTTTGTTGAACCATGATAATAATTTATTTATTGTGATTACGAAAAAACGTTAGTTGGACCATTAAAATAGTTAATTAATAAAACTACAAGCAAAAATAACTTTTTTATATAAAGCAGTCAAAAATATGATGAAAAAAAATCAATAATATTTATAAATGGGACAAAATTTTAATTTTTCTTTTGGTTTTGTCTGACTTTTTCGAGGATTTCAAATCTCTGTTTGCATATTTAAGAGTATAAAAAATTCTGAGTCTTATAAATAATTTAATGGTGTACATTTTCGCAAATTGTTGGCAAGAATGACCAAATTCTATTTTGCTCATGTCAAAAAGGTATGCGTTGGAAATTCCAGGCTTAGTTGACAAATTATCAAATAGAGTTATAAATATTTTTTTCTAATTTGAAAATATAAAAGAGAAAAATTTCGCTGGGAGATTTTAAATTGCCAAACATCTTTTCTTCAGAGTTGTATGCTTTAAAATGCTCCTACACGATGGAATTTTACATCGAAGTGGGTCAATACTATTTATGTTTATAAAGAGGATTTGATTAAATGTCTCGAAGAAATTATGAACACAGAATTCGATAAAAAAAACTATTAATCAGACTTAAGGGTTGTTAAATTTTAAAATATAGATTTTAGTTTCTGGTTATTTTTCTTCAGCAAAATAATTCCAAATTGCGATATACTTTTTTATTAACTGCAGAGTAGACAGCTCGATGCTCTCAAGGTTAAGATAAACATATCAAATTTTGCAGCAGCTATTCAAAATAATAGAAATAATATAGACTCGCTAATTCATAAAGAATGGCAATCACAACAAGACCCACAAGAACTAAACTTAAACGACAACACCCAATCAGGTCCAAGTACAAGCAAGAAGAGACGGTTTTTTGAAAAGGTGGATCCCATCCCTAATTTAAGGATATGTAAGGAAATTTGTGATACAATAGTAGTGCAGGCAAATGAACATTTTGGTTTTACTACCCACTTAACAATTGCAAGTTTATTTGATAGTGAAAAATTTAAAGACTACCGAGTTTGTTTTCCAAATGAGGACGTTAAAACTGTGTGTAGTTTATTTCCAAACGTAAACAGCTTAACATTCAAAAACGAACTGTCCATACTTTACACCCGAGATGACTTTATGCAACACAATGGGGCCGTACCGTTATTACAAATGTTTTTTAAAAACAATTTGACAATTACATTTTCGAAATCTGTGGAACTGCTATCTATTATCTGTACAATTCCCATGACCACAGTACCACAGGACCACAAACGTATTAAAACATTTTTAAGAAACACTATGTGCCAAGATAGATTGTGCGCGTTAGCCATGTTATTTATCGAAAAAAAAACTTATTCGGTCCATTCCAAATTTTAATAATGTGGCCATCGATCACTTCGCTAGCCAAAAATACAGAAGAATGGATTTCAACTATAATAAATAGTATACAACTGCAGCGGTACCAAGCAGTTAGTCTTCAATTTTGTAATATTTAATTTGTTTCGAAATATATTTAATTTTCATTAAGCGGTGAACTTGTTTTCCTAAGGGAAAAACGAATCCCAGGATTCCTTTCCAGTGTGTGCCCCACTGCCGTTAGTGCCCACGAGCCGTCACTGATTGTGAACCTTCAGCCAATGTGGTCTTACAAAAAGAAGGAAATATAGTCGTATTTTCGGAAACTATTGATAAATCTAGAACAAGTATTCTGCATGATTTAAAGTCTGTTTTTATTCAATGCTGTTGAGCAAGGGTAATAAATTGACATAGATAAGCTCGGGTTTTCTTATTTAATAGAATATGTTTATTTAAATATAGTAACTTTAGAGCACTATAACTAGCTTTTAGTATATGATTCACGTGATTGTCGAATCTTACATTTTCATAGAAAATTAACCCTAGACTTTTGGAATACTCAACTATAGGCTTAAGTCATGGATGATCTGTTTTACAGACATGTACTGGTCTCTTGGTTCAAACTGGTGGAATATTTGCGAGTCGTCGACAAAAAATTGGACAGAAGAGTTTTGGATGACTTTATTCAAGTCGGAAGTGTATAATAGAAATAGAAATGATAAATGAATATTGCAGTGGGATTCTCGTTCCAAAGACTGCGGTTCTTATGTAATTTCTTTCTTTATTTATTCGATTCATAAAGTGTCTAAGTCGCACATCATCGAACTCCTAGAAAAGGAAAGAGAGATCGAACGATCTAAACGATCGTGATTCGGAATCAAAATAGTGTAGTCACCTTGACAAATGACATTCGAATTCCTTTATTTTCGCCGAAAGTTTCTATTTTGTTAAAATAAATCAAGAAGTACAATTATAGAACAACTGGAGAAGATCGAAAAATGTAGAAAAACCTACACGTTTAATGTTTTTTGCCTGATGTCTGCCGCACTGGTAGACATCAGAATTTGAAAACTATTTTAAAGCTGATAGAGACCTTCAGACTTGGCTGGTAGGTACGTACACATAATAATATAAAAAAAATGTCCGTCCCAAGGGAAGGTACAAAGTTTTTCATTGGGAAAGGAAAATATATTAACCCTATATAGAAGTCACCCAGGGAATTACAAAAAACTTATATAGTATGGGTCTTGCGACCTTTATAATCGAGTTATATGGTATCGGTAAATTGTTCTATAGGTATAGATTATCTATGCTAAATATCAAAAAAATGATTCGAAAATTATAGAGCCCGGAAGAAATGGGTCAAATTCAAAAATCACCCTGTAACTCGGTTATATAGGTCGCAAGACCCATACTATATAAGTTTTTTGTGATATCCTGGGTGACATCTATATAGTGTTAAATGGAACCCTACTTTTCTTTTAACTGGTAGCCAAGAGATTGCGACTATTGTTTCAGAATAATGATAGGATTTGTGTTCGTACGAGTGCTCATTATTGATTAAATTTAAAAAAAAAAGACTAAAAGAGCTATAAATTTTTTATTATAGGAAGCAATAATAATGATCACCGAAAACACAAGAAATTGGCTATAGACCAAAAAGACAAAAATGGTCGTGGACTGGCTTAACATATAATTAAGTTGACAGAGCAAAAAGAGAAGATGCCGTTCCAGCTAGAATGTATATCCTAGATAAGTATTCACTTCAGTATTCGAGCAAAAACTCTGGAGAAATTCTCGATTCCTAAAATAAGCCGACTGTTGTAATGCTAAATTTATTCTCTCCGTCACAGTAATAAAGAAAAGTGAAATGGAGTGCATCCAACCTTAATAATGCTTGGAAAGTGTAGGTATTTAGCTTCATTTACTTTCATTTTTGAAAGCGCGAAAAGCGAGTGAAACGCAAAGAAAATACGTCTAATAAATATTAAATATTTTTATTTATTCAGAAAGTTGCCAAAATGGATAAGGCTGATAACCGTTTGCTGCTCGTCTCAAGATTGAAATTTGAATTGTAAATTAGAATTTTTGTGATGATTATCAATGGTAATTTTGTTTTCAAAGTGAATAAAATACGATTCTATTTTTCAGGTAACAGTAAAAGTTTTGAGATTTCGATTTAATTTTCTCAAAAGTAGTTCTATTTTCACACAAATCAAAAATATTGGTTCATTGATTATTGCTGAGCTCTAGTCATTCACGCAATTATGGCATATTTAGTTGCAGATTGTCTACTTTCAATTGATCTTTGATTTTAGAAAACACATCTTGATTACAGGAAGCAAGATCACTTTTATAAGATGGGTATCTGTGGGATCTTTTACTTTGGGGATCCTATCTTGTAAATAAAATAGCAGTTTGTAAGAGGATGTATTAGTCTAAGAGCTAGTAACACAAATTTCATTAAGTGTTTTGATGCACTTTGAAATTTTGTAATTTGAAATCATTTGGATGGAAAAGCAGATATACCTTTGTTGGCTAGACCCACTTCGGGACACCAGGTACTGCGCATAATAGAAAGGGGTAAAATATGACCCAAAAAAAGTGTTTGATTCAGAGGCCAACAAACAACAATTGAAAGTTTAGGTAGTTCTAAAAATACTAGTAATTTAGGCAGACACTTTTGAGAGGGTTTATAATTAATAAATCAACCCCAAAGTTGATTTTTTTTTAAGTATGATTTGAAGTGTTTGATTCACGCTGAAATTTTAATAGCGTCTTAATTAAATATAAAAAAAAAATCCAAAAAGGCAGACACTTTTTCCGGTGTTTAATTGCCGGCCAACATAAAAATAAGTCTTATTTACTATAGAAAGAGATAGGCTGAGTATGGCTGTAGGTGTGAGTGAGAGCGCTGATCACCGCCGTTATTACAGTCTTTCTACAGCTGTATTGGCCGTTCATCTCAATAGAGGACTTCTATACAAGGGAAGTGCCACCAACTTGACAAAATAAAATTGACACTAATGACATAAGAAATTGGGTCACATAAAGAGGCTGAGACACAGATGCTAAGAGTCCTTAATTAGACACCTTGTACTTACTGAAAAAAATATTTTACGACCCCTTTCTATTATGCGCAGTACCGGGGTGGGTCTAGCCAACACAGGTATATCAGATTTTCCATCCAAATGATTTCAAATTACAAAATTTCAAAGTGCATCAAACACTTAATGAAATTTGTGTTACTAGCTCTCCGATTATATATGAATATAATAAAATAGGTAATTCCATTATGACAGAAAAATATACATATAATAATAACATTTTTGTGTACATAAATATTAATGCTTGGCAACCGAGGTCGTCAAGTAGATAGGCGAAGTGCGCTTAAATCTTGCCTCCCATTAAGCTGCCTCAAAAGGTTAAGATTGATATGTATTTGTTGTCTTCTGTGACATGTATATCAATATATTATGAGTTAGAGTTAGTATGTAGTGCTTTTAAAGCACTATAGTATCCAAGCAAAGAGTGGTCCAAGTCCATTTGCAAAAATGGGAGAAAGTTTTTGAGAGATTTAACAAACTTATTGCCGGCAGATTTCAATATACTACTGAGTATTTACTCACAAAACCCAAAAAAATTAAGAGCACCTTGTTGCTGGTTCTTGATGCTCATTACAAAGTTTTGATCACCAGAAATTACATAAAAGCAAACAAAAGAAGATGCCTGTCAATGAACATTGCTAAAGCTCAGTTGATTGTAAATGGTAGTGGTCCAAGTATCCATTCGCGAGATTGGGTAAAAATTTTTGAAACATTCAAGAAATTGTAGCATGCCGTTTTCAATATACCACTAAGCAGCCACTTCAAAACCCAAAAAAAAAAACAAGAAGAGCTTGATATATATGCTGATAATAAAGTTCTCACCATCAGAAATTACATTCAAGCAAGTCTGACTATACATATTGTAGTTATAGTCATCCATCAAATGAGACGGTGGTTATAGTTTGTAAAGGATATGTAACTTTTCTGTAATTGCAAGTTTTGAAATGACTTTTTTTTTCTTTACGTAATACCTACTAAAACTCCCTTCATTTCAGGATCCTTTGGGAACTTTCTAAGACTAAACTTATACATTTTTTAACATCATAGTTGTTTATCTTCACGTGCCTTGCATTTGCTAATACTCCCTTTCCCCTCTTTCTTTTGTTTCTTTTTTTTCATCACCTTGCCGATGTAGTTAAAAATACTGTCCCATTTACTTTCAGCCATTTGGTTTGCGATATTGTGAGGCGTTATTATTTCTACTTGTTTCGATGTCTTGTTTCTAGCTCCGAATATGTTTCAATGTGTTTCGGGGTGTCTTCTACCCTGCAGTAGACGCATTTGTTGTCATCTACGTTCTACATTTGTTTGTGTACTTTCTATACGATCCATGTCTACTTAGAAACTGTCTCCAAGTGATATTCTTCCGTTGCCTATAGTTATGCCTAAAACTTTGCAAAAAGCCGAAAAACGTAGACGTGGTAAAACTGCAATTATCACATCATCCCCATACCTACTAGAGCTAAAGGAGAACTTGGATAAACCAACTTCAAAAGCAGTAAAAAGTGTTAAACGAAAGTTGTGTGAAGAACATAATGCTAAAAATAGACCCAAAAAATCAAGAAAGTCTAGAAAAATATCTACATATTCGGAGAGTTTTACAGAAGAGCCCACAAACTACTGTCAGGATGTTGACTCTGAAGAATCCATGTCCCTAGATACCATAGACATAACAGCGTTAGATAAAGACAATGAAAATGAATTTACTTTGATACACAAGGATATCGATACAGGCGATTTTTGAATTGGTAACAGAAATCACAAAGGGAACTATAAAGAAATTTGTTGAAAAATTTAAAGGGCAGTTCTTGGAAAAAAGTTGCTTATATGCGAAACTATCGTAATCATCACGACTTATTTGTCTTTCCAAATCTACCTGATGAGAAAGTGAGATTTTAGACATTCTGACTAATTTTCATTCTTTTCGTCATGGGATAATTAAAATTGTAAAATGTTTTTGTTTTTGTATTTGTTCCAATACATCTGGTTCTTTATAATCAATTGTAAATTATTTCTACCTTGTCATATTACCTCACTCATCATTACACTTTACCCCACTTGCCATTTCACTTTGCCCCACTATAGAGGGCAAAGTGAAAATAAGACACTCTTCGGAAGACTTATGCATAACAAGAAACTTTTATATATTATCATTTTTATATTTACATATAACTGTTCTTAATTATGCAGGAACCAGATAGTTTTTTTTATAAAATTCTGCTTTGATAAATGGCTAATTTATTCAACTTAAAAGATAAGCCATTTTACTTTACCCCTCCTTCCCCTACCTTTTATTATAAAACGAAAATAAAAAAAAACGACAAATATTTTATTAGGTACTTATTTTAATAACATAATTTAATTACAGTTTTCCCCTTTTAAAATCTAATTTTTTATAAGTAAAAAAAAAATAATTCACTCACAAACTTTATCTGCAAAGCCATTAATTTTGAACATATTCACATTACAGTCATATTGTAATCATTTTCAATAACTTTTAGAACCGTGAATGGAAGAAAAAGGGTCCACATAAATCATCGATATATTGATGTGATAAGCACAAAAGTGGCCCCAGCCGTTATGAAATAAATCATCCATTTTGGAGCAGTCAATTGGAAAGATTCATTGGGATTTTATTACGAAAACTTTTATTCAATATGTATTGTGTAACCATAATAATCCCCAATAATATCCAACTTGACGAAAGTTCGGCCACAAACTTTTCTTATTAAAACTCTTATCAACGGAGTTTAAGCGCTTTCGAGACTATTCTGAATTATAATTAAATCTTGTTGAGCTATCCACCTGAAAAATTGCATCAATCATTTCTACAGAGCATTCTCCGCATCATTTGTCGCTCTATAGTATAGTAGATCTATGCAAAAAAATGATGAAAATTGGCGAAACTAATTTCCACAAAGACAAGGTTCTAATTATTTTTTGTTGTTTTTTTACTGTCAAAACTTTCCAATTTAAAATGAATAATTCAATATATTTTGTTAATATCTTTATTACATACCTCGAAGAAAATTGTAGAATATCGTGATGTGGTATCGTTTAAAACTGAGGTTTCCTTTGGGTTACCGCAAGGCTCAGTATTGGGTCCATTACTGTTTCTTATCTATATCAATGATTTTATCTTGACTACTAACTTCTCCGTTCTTCTGTATGTAGACGATTTAGTTATTTTATTTAGTGTCTGGTAGTGTAGATTATTTATCACTTCAGTCTAATATAAATAAAGTTTACAATTGTTGTACAGGTTACTAGGAAAATAAAATATCCTAGAAAAAGTTACTATTAAACTAAAAAAAAAAAGTTGTTCATATAATTCATATGATCTAAACCTCTCTAAGGATAATGTAATGACCTTAACTCGTAAAAAGAAAGTTTTTAGTGTGCATTTTTTATAAAGAGGAACGTATATTATTATTGATTGACATGAGTTTAGAACCAAAATAATATTACTAACAAATTTAATTAAGAATAGATTTTTTTTTTAAATTCTTAACTATAAAAAAATTTTAGTTGGCTGAGGCCAATTTTTTATTTTTTGTGTTTTTTGGTGGTAACAGATCTTAAGAACTTGTTGTGCTTGCGTTTTTGCAGTTTTGCACGCATTTAAGCTTTTCTTGGTGGTTTAGATTCTGGCTGCGTTAATAAGGTGGTCTCAACGCCGTGCCGCCAGATCCTACTCCTTTTTTACTTTCCTATCTGTATACAGATATAAGGAAAGTATAGGAATCATGATTTTTTTCGACCTCGAGTTTTCGACGGATTTTTACGTTTTGAGGTCCCCTGAATCCATTTTGACTATTTTCGCGGTGATGTCTGTGTGTGTGTGTGTGTGTGTGTGTGTGTGTGTGTGTGTGCGACTGTATCCACCATAACTCATGAACCGATACACAAGAAAACACCAAATTTTAAACTTAAGCTTTATTTTAGCGTCCAATGAACTGATTAGATTTTGGGCACAGTCGGAACATTTGGAGGGGTACTTTATAGGTGGCCTTTTTTATATTTTATGGAATATATCTGTTATTTACTTTTGGAGAAGAAAATTCTTTAAATAAAAGTTACTTCTAATATTATTATCTATAATTTTTGTTTTATACAAAATTTTCCTAAAATAGTCCGTATTGGAGAAATTTGACAAAATGTAAAAAAAATAATTTTTTATAAAAATTGTTTTAATAAAAGTTGTTTATAATATAATTCTCTATAATTTTTACTCTATACATAATTTCTCTAAAATGGACCGTATTCGAGATATTTGAGAAAATGTGTAAATTTCGAATTTTGAAGAAAACTCAAAAACGGATAAAGAAAAAAACATTAAATTTTAAACTTAAGTTCTATTTCGGCTGACGTGAAATGATTAGATTTTGGACAAAGTCGGAACTTCTGGGTGGTACTTTATGGGAGGCCGTTTTTATATTTTATGGAATATATCTAGCGCTATTATTTAAGTTTGGAGAAGAAAATTGTTCAAATAAAAGTTACTTCTAATATTATTATCTATTATTTTTGTTTTTATGTCAAAATTTCCTGAAATGGTCCGTATTCGAGAAATTTGACAAAATGTGCAAAATTTTGAATTTTTTGAAAATTGTTGAACTAAAAGTTGTTTGCGATATCGATCTCTATAATTTTTGTTCATACATGATTTTTTTAAAATGGACCGTAATGGAAAAATTTTTCAGTATTTTCGTTTTCAATTAATATCTATATAAAAATGTTTCGAGGTAGATGTATGTGGAAAATGTATATATTTAGTTTATCCTCAAACATTTATAGAGGTGCTGCAATAGGTTGTACAAAATAACCAGAAAAAGCCTATACCTAATAACTAGATAGGAAAGTCATATGTTGGACACATCAGATTTTTACTAATATGATTATAACATTTAGATGTAAAATAGATATGCTTACCTACTCTCAAGGATCAGGAAGCGTTAAAGTCTCTGAATTACTATATTCACTTAATGAGTCATTATTTTCTGATATTAATAAAGATGGCACTGAAGTATCGACATCAAAGATTTTGTCCAGGTTCACCAATTAACTGGAGTGGAGTAGAATGCTTGTCAATAGGCTTGAGATGCGACTCTATGGGCGAAGACAGGTTATTTTTCATCTCACTCGGGATTATTTATAATAACCATTTTCTTATTCACATTGTTATTGTCTGATCCACCAACTTGTGGATTGAACAATAACAAAGTGAAACAGAAAATGGTTATTATAAATAGTCCCGAGTGAGATGAGCAATAAAAATGGCTGCGTCCATAGAGTCGCATCTTGTTCTATTGATACAGAATACACATTGGCTTTCTACCCCTCTCCATTTCATTGGGTTCAACATGTTTTATTCTTATTTTAACATATGCTCGATTGGCTTTTGCCACTTTTCGTTCGTAACAAGTGATATGGAGGTTTCTAACAATGCTTCTACATCTTTTAACTTAAATTTCGTATTCTGTCGACCTACATATCCTTTAATTTGTGCCTATATAAGTTTAATAAAATTTAGTTTGTAGTGATAGGGAGGAAGACGCACAACATCAATAGAGGAAAGTCGCCTAATTTTGGGTAGTTGCTTAATTTTGGATACTGAACATCCATTTACAGTTTTATTTAATTGAATCTACAAAACGAAGCGCCTCTAATATAAAATGATCCTGCATGAGCACATAGTTTAATGTTCGCTACTAGGTGGCGCCATAAGAATATGTTTATTTGTGGTCCGCGTGTAAACAGTTATAAAAAGCTAACTAATTAGGGTAGGAAAGTGGAATTTGGCAAGGTTAAAATAGTGGTAGAATAAGCCAACATGTTTAAAATAAGTAATACCCTAATGAACTTTTTGATTTTAATCAGATAACCTAGAATATAAAGGTTGCCTAATTTTAGATAGGAAAGGGTTTCTAAAAATTCTATTATAGTTTCGAGTTATAAATATATCCTTAAATTATAAAGTTAACACAGCTTCTAGATCAGTGAACATAGACGGTGGCACAGATATGGAAGTAAACCTGTATGGACATAGTTTTAACCACATTTTTCTTTACATGCCTCTTTTTTTAGCTACCTTTACAAGTATTACTGATAATACCTGTTTACCATAGTTTATTAAGTTCAGATCATCAGAAATTAAATTTTTAAATTACGGAAACAATTTAATAACAAATTTTTTGACGAAAGTCAGTGCAATTTCAGTTTGTAAATAACAGCTTTAAACCGATTAAGATTCGCCTGTCGCTAAAAGTATTTTCCCTTTAGTTGTTTAATTTAATTTTATGGAATTTTGACTACTTTGAGACTTAGAAATTTGCTCTTAACTCCATTAAAACTTTTGCACTGTTAGAACTTTGAGAAAAAAATGTACTTTACCAATTTAAGTAATCTACACACAGGGTCTATCAGGAATTACGAGTCTGATTTTAAAGTTTAAATTAAGCATTTTTAAAAACCAAATTAAAAATGTAGTCTCCCGATTTAGTTTACATTTTTAAAGTGCTTTACTCTAAAATAATTTTTTTTTATGGAATATCTTGTATTTTATTGTTTTTTTGTTAGTAATTTATAATAAATAAGAAAAACTTTAAATGAGAGTCAGAAAGCAGTAAATCTTCTGTCAAGTCTTGGATGGGTTACTTGCCAGCAGATAGACTATATTACTTTTTCACAAAATTATTTTAGAAGAAATGTAATTATATGCCAGGGTTTGAAATATTAGATATTAAATCTGTAGAATATCAATCTTTAAATACTAGTTTGTAAAGAAAGAGTGGATGAATATGCAGGAATACGAAGTTATATATATTTTCTCTACAACCCACGAAAGAATATCTATAAACTTTTAAAAGTTAATGACATTAAAAAAAAGTCCCTAATGAATCCAAGATTATCTTGATTGCATGAAATTATGATAAATTCTTGGGAAATCATATTCCATTCATCTCCGAGAACAATTTGGAGTTGAGGAATATTTCGTGTACCAGCACGTGTTCCTAATTTATCTCATGCATGTTCAATTCGGTTGCTCGAGTGTATTTGCCTGCTAATACGCTTTATCGATTATTACTTCATTAAGCCAATTCGACAGGGACATGTATGAGATAGTTCAAAAAATGTACTACAAATGTGTTAATTGCTTTGTTAGAGATCTCAAACCTCAAGTCTTGGTAGTTGTTTTGAAGGTCTGCACTATGCCTTGCGCATTTTAGTATGTAATGATTAATTAACGGTCAGAAATTTAGTTACAAATATTTAACATTAAAAATAAAAACCTAACATACAATAAAAATTAATAAAATAATAAAACAAAAATGTGACTGCTCTAGAAAAATATTTTTAATTTTAATTTTTAAATTGGGTTAACCGCAGTTTATCATATTCAGATGGTTAAGCATTGTATACTTGAATACTGATATAATATTAAGAAATTTGTAATTTCGTTAACCTATAAATAATAAAGCCTTAAACAATCTCTATTTCTAATAAAGTAATCACACATATCGTTGTTCTAAAGTCTATTCAAATTTAATTTACGGCTGATGTAAACAGAAGCAGGTGGACGCTAAAGTTGAGCAAGGCCGTATTTTACTTTTCCGTCTTGCAAAAATGTAAAATAAAAGAGTGTAATTGTGAAATTATTTTTTTATTACGATAAAAACATATTTTGTAAAGTAAAACTATAAAATAAATGCCATACACGGTCTCCCAGACTTAAGTGACATTTCTGGACGAAGATAGGTGAGCGACATAAACTGCGTTAACCTGCAATACAAATTAATAAATGTATTTGACTTTAAAAGAGATGGTTGCATTATATTTAGTTCATTACATATATCAACTGTGATACAGAGCATTAAAACAATCATATTATAAAATTATATTGTACAGGGTATCCAAATAATTGCAAATTCTTTAATAGCTAATATATATCTACTAAAAGTATTAAAAAAACTTTAAATATTAGAGGTATTTGGTATTTTAATTTGGTATTTGATTTAAAATTGTGCATCTTAAAAAGAAACCTTTTGTATTTTTGATAACTTTTGTTCTTTATTGTTCT